TAGTCCTCAAGTCTGGCATGCAAATCCATGTCCTGCTCTTCCCCTAACGTGATTCCCAAGTTGTCAGTCAAGGTACTCCCCACACTTGATCTGCCAGCCTGCCACAACTTACTGAAGTACTATGGTGTGGATGTGTGTTTGTGTGTGATCAGCGCTAGAAGGTTTCTCTGCTCACATGAAACTGGGGTACAGTGATGGAAGGAAGCAAGAAAAACATAGCACTTATTTCCTACAAAAAAGAAACTTAGTACTACCATATACACTGACAGTGTATTGCATAGACTCCAGAGAGCTTGGTATAAACAAGAAGTAGCTCTGTTCTGTCACACTGGCAGATGTGGCAATAGGGCTGCTGCTAAAATTGAGCTATCTTTGCATACGGGCAGTGAGAGAAGGAAAGATGCAAGAACTAGAGAGCATGCAAAGGCCATGAGTATGTGCTAAAGTTAGAAAAGAGAAGCAGGAACCTATCTCTTAGAGTAGTGATTTAGAAAACAGATTCCTAACCTGCAAATAAAAATCAATGTTGATGGGAAATAAAACTCCTATCTGTTCAGTGTTTGCAGGGGAGAGACCGTGATGATCTTCCCCTCAATCTTGTGGGGTCTGTCATCACTATCCTGTCCCTAAGCCACCTAAGCTAATGCTCAGCTGAAAAAGTCTTTTTGCAGTTGTGTTGCATACAGGAAGGGTCTTCAAAGCCTTTGAAGATTTCTGGGATACCCACAACGTACTGGAGGATGACCAGCTGGAATCTGCCAATCCTCGCTTGCATAATGGGTTCAGTATAGCCAGTGGATGTACCAAGTGTTGATTCAGTCAGCTCTGTCACTAGACAAGACTTGAGGAGGAGAAAATGTTTACTTTACATTGTAAAACTATGATAATCAAACAAAGGTACAAGAAGACAAAAAGTTGATATGCATAAGAAGATAGCAGTTCCATCATCATGGTCAAGCTTCACGAGCTAACTACAACCTACTAAAGGTTTAGTAGACTCAGGAAAGGTCTAGGTCCCTCACCTTTTTGGTCTTATTACTACAGTGCCTGGAAAATGTGTGCTCCTCTGCTCAGGCTGGGATGGTCGAGCTCGTTCATTTGTCTCCTGTGAGAAGTTCCTTCCTGCCTGCTTGTGAGTGGGAAGTGTGGAGCAACATGATTATGCCAGACTAGGCCACTTTCTTTTGTATGTCTCTTGATTTAACATTGATGTTGCACACTGATGTTCAACTAAGCTTTTAGTGCTTATGTCATTCTGGGAAGAGACTATGTGTCAGCTGTGAAGCCAAGAACACCTTTTTATAGACAGACATACGTTGTGGGAATCAAACCTTACCAGGAATTAGAGTAAAAAGTTCAAAATTAAGTGACATTTCCTAATCAGTTGAGTGGTGGAAACTTGTGGACTTTGGCAAACAAAAGAGGAAAGCAAAACTGGAATAATCTAGTTCTATGCAATATTCCGTCTGTGTGCTGCAAAAATGTTAGCTACTGTGTGATTTTGCCACTTGCTGGGGGATTTGCAGTTTTTCTGGATGGATATACTTTGGAGGCAAGCTATTTTTTCCATCTCTTCCATTTCTTTGCCTTGGAGGCAAGCTATTTTTTCCATCTCTTCCATTTCTTTGCCTTAGAAAGAGCTTTGTAATAATTCAGGTTTGTAAAGAATCTGTTGTCAGGATTCTGTGGATATTTAACAGAAGAACGCAGGTTTTGTAACTTGTCTTTTTGGCGCTCTTGCTGAATTCATGCTTCAACCTAGTTTTCCTTTCTCTGATGATTGCCCTCTTTTTTCCTCCCTGTAAACACAGAATCTCTGTCATTGCTCTCATCCCAGCCACTCTGAAAGCAGTAAAAGCTTACATAGGATCTCATGTGAAAGAATTTGACTTCTGACAAATATAACCCGCATGCCTACACAAGAAAGCGTTACTTCCGTTAGCCAAGTTGCTGCTATTCTGTCGTTGCTGAATCCCATTCTGCGCCCCAGGCTACCCTTCTACAAAAAGATCTACCAGGATCCTTATTAATCTGTGCAGCCAGAAAAAAGTAGGAGGAAGGATGGACAGTGCTTGTGCAAAACACTGTTGTTAATGCTCTTTATTTCCAAAATAAAATCCTGTTGGTCAAGGGGAAGAAACGGGCTAAAGGAAGCAGCATGGTTCCTTTAAGCAGCTGGGTGCACAGCTTGCTGTTTCAGGGCATAGAGCAAGCTCACAGGAGTGGGATGGATGTCTGACCCGTCTAAGTCTCTTATCATCTCAATAAGTTCAGCTTTTTAAAACTAAACTAAGAACATCGCGATCTTTGAATATTTTGACTTGTGATGTGGTTTAGGGCCTTTTCTCAGAAAGCGTCTCCATTTTCCAGGCGGGAAGATGTTTAGGTTAGTTACAGAAGGCTGGGCTGTTCGAAAGGGGTCTGCAAAGTATTTCCGCCGTCGTTTCGAGTCCGCTTCTCGCCCCAACAGAGCTAAGTCTCAGGTGGAAACCTACGTGCTTTGATGAAAACTAAAGCGGCGGGAGACGGCCGGCGGACAAGGGATGACTAAGCGGAGGAAGGCGGCTACCCTCCCTTGAAACAAACGGTGCTCCCGAGGGGCCCGGCCGACCATCAGCCTTCGGGAAGAGAAGGGACAGCAACGGCCGCCCAG